TCGAGGACGATCCTGATCGCGTGGCGCCGACAGTGAAGAGATAACTGCGTCGCGCGGTGTAGTGATTCTTGCGTCCCGCAGGACCGTGCAATGACAATTGCGTTGCGCCGTACCGTGTATGTAGTGATTAGTGCGTCGCGCAGTGAAGTGTCGATCGCGTCGCGCACCGAGTGATGTGAAAAGTGATTGTCTTGGCTTATCGTGTATGCGCTCCGCGCTGAGGCGGTGAGAACTGTGGTGCGCCTGCGTTATTCGTTATTCGTTGCCTCGTCTCGATGATGTAACAACCACGTGTGTCGCCGGCCGGCACGGGAGTCCCCGGGCCGGCGCAGACCGATTCGCGCGCCGACTTGTTGTGACGTTGCTATCCCCCCCCCCCCCCCGGTGCTGGGGGCGGCCCAGGGCGCGCCAGTGAACCTTGTACCCTTTCACGAGGCGACCGCGTGTCTGCAGCCTGCAATGCTGCAGTCTGCTGACCAATCCGCGCTCGATCCGTCGCCGCGTGGTCTCCGAGTGTTTCTGCGCATGTCTGGGGCCCGGCCGGCTGCGTCGGGCCGCGCGCTCTCCCGACATTCTAGGCCTGGCTCTTGACCCGAGCAGACGCGTCACGTCTGGCTCCATTAGGCCCGTTCTGTCCGGGATTTAGAACTTTTAGATTAGGCAGGGCATTCTTGGCAAACTCGGATTCCATTCTCGTCTTTTCGTCGCTCCACTGCATGATTCGCTGTTTTGGTTTTTGCCTTCGTTTGGAACTTAAAATATAACAACCCGCTCTTAAATTAATTCTTTTACTTGGGGCCGTTTGGATCGAACTGATTGAATTTTTGGAACACGCACCAGGTTGATATTTTCCATTTCTGATTAACGTAAAATCCAGTCACTGATATGTGGTGAACTGCCCCACAGCACCACACATACAATCCAAGTCAGGACAAGGGATTCTCATAATTATTTTGCTATCATATTTTCCCCCTTTTTAAAGTCATTTAAAAGCGCTATTGCACAAGTAATTTTTTGATTAGCAGCGATTCCAGCCGCCGCATCAGGGTCCGGATGGAGCCAGGGAGCGTATGCCCCGGTGACGTCACCGTAGTGTTGCAGATTTGTAACATTAGCGAGCCCGGACGATCTTACCTAACTTATACGGCCTTGCAAGGGGTGTGGTTAAACATGTTGAACCACACGGCTGCTGACGTCACTATCATATAGTTGTGAGCTTTTTGGCAGGTATGGGAAACACCTTCCAGCCCTAAGGCCGGGAATTCAATAAATGTCACCTCGCTTTTTTAGCAAAATCACCTCGGGCCAACGGCCCTCGGATTTTTCGCTAAAAAACCTCGGTGACATTTATTGAATCATCCCGGCCCCGGGCAGGAATATATTAATCTAAAGAATGGACGATTGCAAGGGCTCCGCCACAGGGGGGTACGCGGGGGTCCGGACCCCCTCAATAATTTACCTGGGGGGTACAGTACCCCCCAATATTTCGAATAACCACATGGGGCCCCCATGTAGTTTTCGATATCACTGAGAGCCTGTATAAGCTTGTTTTCGCATAAGAATGACTAAATCATTTACAGAATGTGTTGAATAATTTAGAATACATTGACAGTCGCAAAGCTAAGGAATTTAAGGTCTAGAAATGTAGGGATCCATTAAAATGTTGTGACACACGAAGTGCTCAACTCTCGCCGACCTATACTCGTATGTACGGGAGTGCCATTATTCTACCGTTTTGCTATTAAAATGAATGCGTTTAAAATTGCCAAAGGATTTTTTATTGCTATAGGATTAGCTAAGCATGCCAGAATTTATACAATAATTAATTTAATGTAATTTCGTACTTTATTGAAATTAATGTAATTTTGTGAGAGAGGTCCAGCTTGCATTGCAGGACACCTCTTAGACACAATACCCGCCCTAAATGAGCTTCAAATCGATCTGAGAATCCTTTTTCCATGTGAGGTCAACCGATAGTGTTGGGGGAAGGGGGTTAAGCCGGTCTTTCGAGCACCGTACTAGTCTAAGCCGCCTCACACCGTTCTGAGGTAATCTGCAATAATCTGCACAGGACTCTGAATGCAGGTCGGTAGAGGTACGTCTACAAATCACAACTCTTACAGAATCCCCTGCATAACCTGACCTTTGATTCAATTGCAGCATTTTGATATCCATTTTCAGGTCAAGCTAGGTCACTTTCTGATCACAGAGACTGAATGTCAGTATCTAAGGAGTCCATACAGCTATATGCATGGGTGGAGAACCTGCCCCGGCCACCCCGGCCGTGGCCGGGGTAACTTTCAGCTTACCCCGGCGCGGCCGGGGTAACTTTTTCCACTCTTAATCCTAAAAGCTAAAAGCTATCCTAACAGCTGTCTCCACACGAAAAAACTGCCACCTATAGAAGTGTCTCTCATTAGGTATTTTTATCTACCTTGAAAAGTTTTTGAAAAATTATTTATTTTGATTTGGAGCTTCCATGTACTCAAATCTTTTCATCGCGGAGCCCGACAAGTTTTATCAAACAAAATTAAATCATATTTAACCCTCGCCCTTTGGGGGGGGGGGTCGAACGCCCCCCCTTAAACGTTCGCGGCTGAGAAAAAAAAAACACCAATACGGGCGAGGGCTAAGGGCCGTTATCGTAAGGTCAAGGCCATATATAGGCGTAAGGTGGCACTGCAAAAAAAATCACAACACAGGACGAGGGTTATAGCCGTTTTCACGACGGCCATCTGGTACACATTTGGTGCACATCTGGTACAGATTAGGTGCAGATCTGGTCAAATCAGGTTCGGTGTGTCTCTTAGCAGCTATCAGCTAGGGTTGCACTAATTGCTTATATGCCTGCTTTGTCATATTATCAGAGAGCATTATCGATTAAAATACTGAAATAAATTCATAAAACGTAGATATTTGCTGTAAAAGAAATTAGGTGCAGATTTGGTCAAATCAGGTGCATTCGCCGGATAGCCCGTCGTAAAAACAGCTAATATTAGTGAGATAGAAGAGCATCAAGGACGAGCTGCTGAGGCTCAAGGCTCCCCGCAACTTAACTCGCGCCAGGGTGGTGGCCCTATCGTAACACGTTGAGTCGAGAGCCGTGGGCGTTTCACGCTCCTAACTCGGCTACTGGGCTACGAGGCGAGAAGCGGAACGACGTTTGAAAGAACGACAAACGTGATCAGAGAAATCTGGTCATGTTTTAGGCAAGCTAAATAATAAAATTACCATAGATCATCAAAAGCCAAGTTTCTCTGATTTTAGCGTTCTCCGAAAACTTTTCTCACAGTTCATGAACATAACGGAGCTACAACACTGCAAGCAAAACATTCGATAACTAGTTTAAGGCTCGGTCGCAAATAATATTTCAGGTGCGAGCTAAAATCAATAAGAGGGCCAAAACAGTCAATGTGTGGGAAGGTTGCAACTTTCACGAAATAAGCTTTGCAAAGGGCATGATCGCAGTTTTTTTGGCACGATTATCCAGCAAATTTGACCTGATGACCTGACACTAGGTGACCTGCGGCCGAAACTTTAAGGTTTGATGCAAAATTGTCGTTATAATTACGAAATTTTGCACACCTGCGTGAAGCAGTTTCCCCTAAAAACATAAAAACTGCAGATATCCATTATTGCATGCCACAGAATAAGGGTTTGTTGATAACCGTTGACAAATATTTGAGCATATCGTCTTTCTGACATTCGGTCGCTGGCCGGGGTAACTTTTTCGAACATTCTCCACCCATGGCTATATGTATGAGGGCAGGGCTTTCAAATCCCTTCAACGACTCCTAAAGCCCTGCGCTTTCCTTTAACTACGGCCTTGGAGGACCCGGCACTGGCCTAAGAGCCTACATAGATATCTGAGCGTCTATGAAGGTCCCTAAATTCCCAAGCCCATGCCAGTCACTGAGAGACTAATGCGCTGTCTGATGGCTAACACCGCCCTTGGAGCGCACAACAGCGGCCTCCATTCCTCAAGAACCCTGATTTGAGAGGCCGCAATGTCGGTGTCAATGGGCTCCGCTTCTCGGATTTCGATTCCTTGTGCAAATTGAACCTTGGTTTTTCGGTTTAAAGCAGAATTCTCCCGATAAAATTATTAAGTTTTCTTGGAGCTCTAGAAAAGCGGCGATTTTTCATCATCTTCGGGAGCTGCAGGGGGGAGGGGGAGGGTGAATTCGCCCAAAATACCCACCCTGGATCCGCCAGCGAGGTTTTGTGTTTTGGGTCGGACCCCCCCAATCCCAAAACCGTGGCGGAGCCCCTGGACGATTGTTCAACAGTTAGCCATGTCGGCTATCCCTATGTCATTATTAAAAATGTAGGCATCCAATCCTTATTGTGGGTTGAATGCTATAAGCTTTAAATTTTACTATCTTTCAGTCGTCCTGTCTATTTCGATGTCCTAGTCGTGTAGAGGACAGATTGGCCGTCTGGAAAACGAGTGTCGAAAACTGACCTTGTGCCTCAGTTTTCTGCTGCAGGCTGCGACGCCCTGATCCGGTATGAAGCTGTTCGGGGCCTCTGTGCTGATGTGGTTCAACAGATGGGCCGATTCGCATGGCCCGTGATGATGTTCTGTGAACAAAATCCAATGTCGATCAATGAATGTTTCATTTAGGTACGATAATTTTTCAAGGAAAAATGAGTTGAACGCTCAGAAAAGTGATCAAAGATCACCAGTACCTACGTACGACATTGAACTTCGAGCTAGGCCCTTGATGGAAAGAAGGGAAAAAATAGAAAAAGAAAAATTAACAATGAAGAAAAAGAAGGATGTGAGAGAGAGAGAGAGAGAGAGAGGGAGGGAGAGAGAGAGAGAGAGAGAGAGGGAGGGAGAGAGAGAGAGAGAGAGAGAGAGAGAGAGAGAGAGAGAGAGAGAGAGAGAGAGAGAGATCAGATGAGTATAGAAGAGCCGTCCCAGTCGGCTACCCACCCGGTCGACAGGGCACCACGTCAGGGCTGCTGTCCTCCAGTTGACAGACTGTCAGTACCCGCGCCGGCTCGGCCTCGGCATCGTCCATCCCGCGCTCGAAGCCGCTGCTGAGCGCCTTCTGCAGGATGTGCTGGTCCGAGCTTCTGTCGGCCACCGTGTGGTGCGACCTGCGGCTGAAAGACCAGGGCACGCTCTCAGATCGGTGGTTGAAAGGCGAACGGGGAACGGTGAGCGCCGATGAAACATTGTCGCAATGGGTGATGCAACTCTACTTCCAAGCAATTAGCAACTGGTTTAGTCATTTGCTACCTGACGTGGCTGCTGTCAGGCACACAAATATCACATAGAGGATATATGAATCGTGAGTCCTAGAGCGAAATAACGCGACACAGAAAATGTTGGGGGCGGGGATTATATGTATAATGTATATTCCACGTTGTCGTCTCACCGGCTGTTTCGTGTGTAGATAACGGCCCCCACGGTGACGAGAACCAGCGAGACGGCCGCTCCGGCCAGACAGGCCAGGGCCGGCGTCAGGGGCACGCCCGACTCTGCCCGATCCTCTGCGACAAAACGAGAAAGAACGGACACTTAGTGCAATTAACGGCGATATTTGGAACAGCTCCTTGGGATCCGTGGCATAACAGCCTGAGTCATCGCTGATCCGTAATCCTGTGAGAGAACTTTCAGCTGTGATATCAGTAAATATCAGTGTTAAGATGAAAGGGTGTTCTGCCGTCTGCATAATCAATATGTGCCACCGGGCTGCGTGCGGTTGCGTCAGCAATTCCTGGCCCATTTACCGTAACCAGAGGCTGAAGGTGGCCACGAGCACGCAGGTACACAGTTACACACATTATATTACACACAGTACACACGTAAATATATAGCCCGTATCGGAGCCCTGATACGCACACCTACAGGGCCGTGTGATCGTGAAGATCAGAGGTAATCGGAGCTAATTAGAGTATTGCGTGGTATTGCGGAACTACGTCACGCCAGGGTAAGGGTAGAGCTGAGGCTGGGGGAGAGAGCGGGGCGGCAAAGGAGTGGTGGAGTAGGAGCATAGCGAGAGAGAGAGAGAGAGAGAGAGAGAGAGAGAGAGAGAGAGAGAGAGAAAGAGAGAGGGAGAGAGAGAGAGACAGAGAGGAAGAGAAAGGGGAGTGAGGAATCAGGAAGGGAGAGAGATTGGTAAGAGTCTGATCCGCTAACTAGGTACTGCATTCCTCGATGCAAACTCTGAGCCTGAGAGGAGGTAGCATCATGACTAGACAGCAAATGACTGAAGTTGAGTAAGACCATTGCTCTTCAGTCATACTATGTTCGAAGAGTCTTCTAGAGCCGTGTTATGCATCGTGAAATGCAAGGAATCATTGCTACCATTTCAAACTGCAGCGAACAAATGATACCACTGCACCTGCCTAATGTCGAGTTTCGGTTTTATGGCCCGAGCTTTCCGAACCATTTGTGATCGTCTCGCAGTGTTGAGCTTTGCTCGAGTTCGGACAGAGGAACTCGTCTACTGTAGTCTGTCGTGAACGAGCCCCATTGTCCCCATTTCTGGCTAGCTACTTAGATACAGGGTGTCCACGTCAAAAGTGTACCCAGACTTTTCTCCATATTTTATCTTAAAAACATCACACTCACGAACAATTGCCCTCGTTTGAGAGCCAAGGCAATGGCAAAACATTTGCTATGCTTTTCAACTGTGCTCGGCACTCTGCTGACCAGCGCGTGCCGTCTAGAGCAACTGCTCTATATGAGCCCCTTTGCGTCGGGCCACCGCCGGCAGATGGAACGTCTGGAGGTGGGTGATCGCCTGGTCAACCATGTGGGAAGGAAGGCGACGGATCTCGTCGATGATGACGTCTTTCAGCTCCTGGGTCGACCCTGGATTGCCAGCGTATGCACAAGTCCTTGAGAAAGCCCCACCAGAAGAAACCTAGAGGGCTGAGGTCGGGCGAGTGGGGAGCCCATTCCACCGCGCTTTTCAAGCTGATGTGGCGGTCAGGAAAGTGCTCCTCCAGGAATTCCAGCGACCGTTTGGCGGTGTGAGGCGGCGCCCCGTCTTGTTGAAACCATTCTTCATGGCGACGGATCCCGCGTCTCCGCTTCAGCTCTCGCCAGAATCGTTCCAGTGCCTCCGAGGCGTAGCGTTCTAGCGTTACGGTGTTGTGTTCGTCTCTCCCCTGTCGTCTTCGAAAAAGAAGGGGCCGATAATGCCCCCTCTATGCCTCATAGCCACCCAAACCGATACTTTCTTGCTGTGCAGAGGCATGTTCTGAACTTTTTCTAGGCAATGGGATCCCCAGTGCACGGGGCATTGTGGGATTTCACATGCCGCGGTCCGTCTGCCGGCGGTGGCCCGACGCAAAGCGGCTCATATAGAGCAGTTGCTCTAGACGGCACGCGCTGGTCATCAGAGTGCCGAACACAGTTGAAAAGCATAGCAAATGTTTTGCCATTGCCTTGGCTCTCAAACGAGGGCAATTGTTTGTGAGTGTGATGTTTTTAAGATAACATACGGAGAAAAGTCTGGGTACACTTTTGACGTGGACACCCGGTACATGTCAAAGGTCAAAGGGGTCAGCTATAGATACGAAAGTTATAAGCCTGTTACCTATATGTAATTTACTTACCGTTGTTTTTAATGTCAATGACGTACGGAGTCTGATTGCTTTGTTCAAAACTGTAGTGCAATTATTCTATTTTCCTTCAGATCGTGTAGAAGTTCGAACATTGCTTTGAACCATGAGGTTTGTCCCTCAATGGAGGATACAAATGTAATAGAATCGAACTTGTATCAACCAAAACTATCAGTCCCTCCAACTTCTCCGTTCGATTCTCTAAATATATCTTAATTCAGATCATTTATCCCTCTATCAGTCTATACATCTCCCTTTCTTTCCCTCTCTCCCCTCTCTCTCTCTCTCTCTCTCTCTCTCTCTCTCTCTCTCTCTCTCTCTCTCTCTCTCTCTCTCCCCAACTCACCAGTCTCTGCTCTCATCCGTTTCTCGGCCGCCTTGAGGCTGAATCCATCTAGTAGCACCGCAGCACTCCTTCCATGCCTGTTGACCGCGTACAGCTCCAGCCGGAGCTCCAGGCCAGCCGGCAGCCGCCGCAGCTCAAAGCTCGGTACTGGCGAGCTCACATTCTGCAGAAGGCGGCCGTCGGGAACGGCATACAGCTCGGCCACGAATGACCTCTCCCGAGCGCCGGCCGTGGTGCTGTCGCCGTGACCGGGACCCCCTCCGGAACAGGCCACCAGCAGTGACTCGGACGTCTGGTTGAGCAGCGAACAGTTGGCCGGAGCACTCGGAGGACCTGTGACACACGTATGTACGGGCCAGATGTGACTGGCCGACACTGCATAATGAAGACGGGTGTGGCGCTGGCATGCAGAGAATAGCGCCGCAATCATGCTAATGGTTACGCCGGTTATGTAAGCAGCTGATCACTTTCGGCGCCGAGCCGTGCTGCCGGTTATCTAAAACTGGAGGTTAGACTGTGCCGCAGCGCAGCCGTGTATGGCGGCACAGACTACCTACTCCAAACGCAGGAAACACCAGCTGGACTTTGCGCCCGACAACGCTGTAACGACAATGCTGTAACAGAAGTTTGAAGATGTGTGTGCACTGTGTGCACCTTGCACTCTGCACTGTCTGCTTATCGTGAACGACCCGAGTGAATGACCTCTACTCCTACACACTGACCTGCCAGAACAACGTCGAACACGCAGGGCGCTGCGGCGCGGCCGATCTTGTTTTCCGCGGTGCAGAGGAGCTGACCAAAGTCCAGCTCTGTGGTGGGTGTGTAGGAGACCGTGCTGCTGAGGCCGTGTGCGGAGCTCTGCGGGAAGAGCAGAACACTCGGTGAGCAAATGTGGATAAAGAAAGGAGAGAGCGCGAGAGCGAGAGAGAGAAAGAGAGAGAGAGAGAGAGAGAGAGAGAGAGAGAGAGAGAGAGAGATGATAGGATAAATAGCCAGAGGAATAGAGAGAAAGAGAGGGAGAGGCAAAGACATGGAGACGGAGAGTGATAGAAAGAGAGGAGACAGAGAGTGGAGAGAAAGAGACAGAGAGATGGAAGGAGAGGAATAGAGGCTAGAGGTAGTTAGGAGACCAGGATGATTGATAATGATGACGCCACCATAGTTATCAACTGAACGGCTGATTACTCGAAAAGTGCAACGGAACGTAAGTAAGTACATACAATGTACATACGAGTACATGCTAACGACAGTCAACAAAAAACAATGATGAGCATGGAGGTCAACTTGCTGTTATGCCTCTGACCACAAAATCGCACCATTGGTAATTGTGAAAGGAGGTGCATGCATGACACGTGTGTGGAGATAAATCAGCTAGAGTGACTTGAGGAAGAGATGAATGAGAAATAACTATTCACGGTCCATTGAACAGCGACCATTAACAAATATTTGTATCATTTGAAAACAGTTATGATGAACTATGCCACTTATAATTTATTGGACCAGAATTTGCGGCTCTGTCTCGCCGTTGACAGGCCTCGTTCGATGCGAATTATATGGCTCCCAGTTGTAGCGTCCAGCCAAGGTTAATTCAGCCCCGCCGGTCCAGACGTCCGAGACAGTGTCGATTTACGGTCGGCCTGCGTAATCGCAATCCGGAACTGTGATGGAAATATGGATTATTAAGGCTGTGCATTAGCCATGTATCATGGCTCGCGTGCGTGAAATGATAGACATAGTCGCAAAATCAGCAGCCGCTTGGCTGAACCAGATCAAAGCATCAGCATAAATTTCAGGCAGGATATGGAATACACCCCCCAATCTCGAACTGCTCCGGTTGTTTTTCAATAGAAAAACACAATTCTAACGAATAGTGTTTGTCTATTTCAAACAACCTGCGGTTATGTAGCTACAAAGTGGATGTTTTATCGCACTCGTTCCTTAGTCCTTACCATGGAGAACGGTAGGTCGAGGGTCTCCAGAGAGCTGTTGAACTGCCATCTGTAGGTGACCTCGGGAGGCACGGCCTCCACCTGGCAGGTCACCCGGGTGGTCTGGTGCAGGGTCACGGCGTACTGCAGCCGCTGGCCCGGCGAGCACACGGGTGCGTCTATAGACAAAGACGGTGGGAGAGTTATATCAATGCACACTGAAAGTAATAAGCCACAAAGCCGCTTACAAAAGAAGACGATAAAATCCGCTAAAAATAACAAATAAAGAAACACTTTACAAATGCGCATTCCATTCACTTCTTTAACCCTATTAGTGGCAGGGGGGGTTGTTTTCATCCACCCTTCAGGTTTTTCGGGAATATCTCCGAAACCGCTGAAGCTACGATGCTGAAATTTTCTGACTTTTCCTAAAACTAAATTGGGCACATTCCCTGAAAATTTCAAGTTCATAACTTTACCAGGGGCGGCTCCAGAGCACTAGGAATTGGGGGGTCCTATTCGTGAAGCGAGTCATTTGGGCGAAGATCACGATGCTGCACCAGTTTTACGAACAGTGAATGAAAGGTATCATGTGATAAAATATACAGTTATTGTGCATCCTCTTTTGACACGTTTTTGCTATAATAGGCGGATCCAGGCGTCCAAAAAGGGGGGTTATGTTTTACCTCCCAACATAGGTGCCCTGACACCGCCTATGCATGACCAATACAATTGTAGTCGTTCTCTCATAAGAAAATTGTAACATAACAAGACCATTACCACCCTTTTTAGAAACAGTACCAACAAAAACCTTATTTACTATACTTTTCGTGTACCCCCAATCTCAATGATCTGTATCCGCCTATGATTTTTGAAAATGCATATTTTTAGGATCCATGTGAATTCCTGGTTCATTCTCTATCGATCGGCAAAAGTTGCGTTAAGATTGGTTCAGAAATCTGGCCGTGATAAACAGTCTAAAATGTATCTGCAATTTGCCCGTTTTTACCCCCCTCTACCCCCCCCCCCCCTATTGACATTTTTTAATTTTTATTTTTTAGAAATGTAGATCACGTTGAGCGAAATCGAATGCCGTTTGAATTTTGAAAATCGGCCCGTTAGATCTCGAGATATCAGGGGGGGGGGGTCGAAAACAGCCCCCCCCCCCCGCCACTAATAGGGGTAGCCAGGAGCCTGCCACTAATAGGGTTAAATAAAAACAATTTAGTAAAAACGCAAAGTAATCGTGCGGCAACTACAATGTGTTCGAAAAATGTTTGGCAGTCTGATCGCACTGCCTGGCTACTCTTTGGGTCGTCACTCGTTCCACTCATTTCATTGTCACCCCGTGTCTCACTATAACCACCAACGCACACGTTCCACGCTCGCACTCCTCCCAGCCGGAGTGAGACTCACACTGGACGCTGAGCTGCACCGGTGGGCTCTCCCCACTACCCTCGGGGTTCACTGCAGTACAGGCGTAGCTGCCTGCCGCCGAGCGCGTCAGGTTTCTGATCACCAGACTGCGGGCGTTGATGGTCACCTGGTCACCGGTGCCGGGTCGCAGAGACGGCTGGAGCTTCTCACCCTGGCGCCATCGGGATGGGAGAAAGGGGGGCTCTTTTGACGCAGTTGGAAAACATGATACTATTTGGGATCATAATGGCTCAATCATTGCAGCTGAGACATCAGAAGGCACGATAAGGAAATGGGGCTTTGACACTCGTGTGTATGTTGTTGATTGATCAATCGGCTCGGATGCATGATACGAAATATTATCAATAAAATAGTTATGACGCCAACGATATTAGACACCGGGCACGGTAAAAAAAAAAAACAGAATTTTAGAGGAGCAAGCCATTTTCCGTTTCAGTTTAGCGAATGGCACTTGGAAACATGATCCTTTGTTTATCCCGTTGCTACGGAAATAAATTAACAATTATAAGTTAATCGCACTGTCCCTGCAGCCAAGCTTGTTTATGGCTTGAATTAAAACGAATTATAAGGGGGCTGAATCTAGCCAAGCGGAAACGATTCGTCGTCTGGCATTGTTCACACACGGAAGTTAGTAAATGTTACAAACAAGACTAGCAGTGAACACGATAGTGAATAATTTCAATTGCCCACTGGGCCCATTAAGCGTGGTTTATTGTGTAGTTACTCGGCTGTGACTCTGGAGTTGGCCAAATTAGGGCCAACTGCGCCTGATCAGACCGGTGGTTATGTGGGCCGGCACGCAGCGAAAAGAATGAGCTGGCAAAACACATGTGACTGGAAAAACATGCACGATGCAAACATCTGACTGCAAGAATAGGCTTTTGTAAAATGAAATGTGGGTGCAAACTACCTGCCATGAAATACATGCAAGAATGTGCAAGAATAATTATTGGACTTAGATGAATGAAATATGAATATGTGCAAACGGCGTGCTGTCCTACATGTGGCAGAGATTACAGCTGTGTTTAATGCTTATGCTATGAATGATGGCGCAATTATTGACTGCGTCCAGTCACCAGTGCCCTTGCCAGTGAACCCGACCACTGACCAGGGTGGACGTCACTGGGTCATTCTGCACTGGCGTCTTATCTCGCTACTGACCAGCGTCACTCACTCACTCACTCACTCACTCACTCTCGGACGCCACTCACGTTGTGTAGCCAGGTAACGGTGAAGGCAGCCGGGTTGGCGGTAATGCTACACTCGAAGTAGACGTCAGTGCCCTCCCGAATGCCGGTCGGGTCAAGAGCCTTTCCCAGACTAATTTTGACGGTAGGGGGATCTGAAAACAATGAGCAGACTTAGGTATATGTATGACTTGTTTGAAGTGACACTGAGACATAACCCCGCACAGCTGGGTGAGAAGTCAACGTAGAAGCATACTCTCTGCTTTCCTCGCCATCTTTTTCGATGGTAGGTACGATAAAATATGCTGAAATTTTGGAGCACCATGAGCACTGTCGAATTGAAATATAAAAGTAATATGAAAATATTGGGCACAAATTTGGTCGAATGCTATCTTATTATCGCGACCTTTCGTGAAAACAAAGTTTGTTTTTAAATCAGAAGGACGTAGAGCAGATATTTGCTGATACTGGCGCGTCTGAAACTTACATCGCACGTCGAGCAGTCGCCTCGCCTCCATGGCCGCTGGGGTCACGTGACTGTTCTCGGCCCGACACACCAGCTGGCGGCCGTGGTCACGTGTTTCTGGTCTGAACGGCACCGTGCTGGTTGTTACTGAACCGTCCTTGGAAACCTGACGGAGAAGTCGGGCGCTATCTAAAACGATAAAAAACTGCGTCTCCTATAGCGAGCCCTTCTGCTTAAAGGTAAATAAATCGCTACGTTTGATCTTGATCCGCTTGTTGTTGTTGATAATCAACGATAACAATATGATTAGCTGCTTTCTTGATCTCGAAAGTTTTTTTTTTTGCTCCTTGTCCTTTATGTTCACATTTTCCTTGTTATTCATACATTATGATCATATTCCTTATTATAATCATATTTTGTGCGAATGCAAAATGTGATTACAAGTAAAAGCATACACAATCACATAAGAGATTCATTGTAATGAAGTAGCTACCGATCCGCCAGGTGATCTCTGGTTTCCGTGCACGTGTCGGTCCGTACCGCGTCAGCCTGGCCGCGCAGTCTCTCCCCGTCCAGCCACCAGGTGATGTTGGCTGCTGGTCGAGAGCCCTGACTGCGACATACGAGGCTGTAGTTCCACTGGGCCGTCATCGGTGTCAGGTGCGAGCCCAGAATCGTCACAGACAGTGGCGGAACTGTGAGATGAAAAGACCGAGAGCAAGTGTAAGAAACAATTCGTCATCTGTCAAACAAGCTTTCACCTGTTAATTGACAGCTCCTAATATGTCAGCTTGTAAGAGAAAAAAAAACAATAGTATCTTTGAAAGTGTCAACTTTTTATATTTGCTTCTTCAACAGCTTCAGAGTAGATGGACTATTATAACGTCGTTTCATTAGTTTATTTAACTGATAATCGACAGACAACTATATAGTTGTATAGTCCAACAACGGCTTCTGTACACTGGGGTTCAAAGGTCTGTGGGTCCAGAAAAATAAATATCCATTAAAGTTAAACGAATTCGTTATCGTTCAGCTGTTAAAACCCCCACACAATAGAGTCGACAGAGAGGTCAATCAGGGACCTAAGGGCGTGGGATCTGTTGAGGTCTCTGTCACTGGATGTGATGGTGGGAACATTCAAAAGTCAGCCAGCATTTCATGAATGTCGAGTAAAATGTCATGTAAAGGTTCAGATATACAAAAGGCGACAGCAAAGTAAATTCCAAAGCCAGGATAAGTTGTAGTTGGTTCAAACGTTGCGTGGGGGCTCGCTCAACAGCCAGCTGGATTGTTTGTTTCCCAGCCGCCATTATCTACTCACAGCTCAGGTCAACCAGCACCTCGGTAGTTGCCGGCTGGGTCACGTTGCTGTTTTCTGCCGAGCACTGCAGGCGCGCGTGCAGGTCATCCCGGGTCAGCCTCTTCATCCACAGCACGCTAGTGACCTGACCTGACCCGGGGTCACTGCTGACCTCTGCTGCTTGTGGACGACCGTTACGCAGCCAGCGTAACCGGGGTCGCGGCCGACCTGAGGTCAGGTCGGAGAGGTCAGCGGGCCGTCTAACTTTCAGGTACTGTTTGCCAAAATTCAGCGGACAGAAATCTGCATCATGGTGAAAAAGTTAAAAGTCATTTTTTTTTCTTCGTGATTATTGACGTGTAGGAGGAACGGCATACATTCAACCCTGCTCATGAAGATATACTATTATATTCCTACGCAACGCCAATCGACATCGTCGCGAAATCAACGAGGCATGGAGCTTCCACCGACGAAAGCACCACGAACATCCTTCTAGCTGAATTAAAGTACTTTATAATATCTTTTACTCCTCCGGAGCCTAGTCTATAAAAAAACAGCTGAACACGGTTTCTGTCGGATGTTGTGAGTAAAGCTGTAAGCCGATTAGCATGTTCGTGGAAAGCATTGCTCAGAAAAAATAAGCAAGCAAGTGTGCAGCGTTGATATGAGACTACATGCGTAGAATCTAAAGGCCTGGCTACACTATGCGTTTTCTGCGTGCGTTTTTTGCGGGTTTGCGTTTTTTGCGTAATATCGTTCTAGAAAAAGTTAAAAATAATATAACTTTTACATTAGTTACATGAAAAAGTTAATAAAACTCTTATATTTACTAAAATTGAATGTAAAAAACATCACAAAAACGTAATATCGCTTATTTTTCTAGAACGATATTACGCAAAACCCGCAAACACGCAAAAAAAACGCACGCAGAAAACGCATAGTGTAGCCAGGCCTTAAGTCAGCATGAACTCCATGGTGACCGATGGTAGGGGAAGTTGGGGGAACGCCGAATACTTTTTTTTCTGACGCCCGTAGCACACAAGGTAGACAACATAAGCTATTCTTGTTGGCGTCATTCGAGAGGCCAATCTTTTGCCTTTCAAACATACCAGGCGCATTTGATGAATTCGCATACCGTTAAGCGCACAAACTAGAAATATCAAAGAAGTGACTTTTTCGGCGTTGCCCCGGACTGCGGGAAAGCCGAAAATGGGAGAAATGATCTACGGGGAATGCCGGAATTGATGTTTTGCCATTTTATCTCAAACTTTATCCAGAATTCATCAAAGCTGACATGGGCATTAAGAGCTTGAGGACGCTTGGTGCACACTGGAAGTTATAATTGTGTGATATAATAAGAAAAGGCCAGGTAAGTCATTCCTTAGAGGTAACAGGCCGTTGTGTCGGTTGAAAGTGTAATTTGTGTGACTAAAAATACGCGTTGCTATTCTACAGCAGTAAAGTCCACGTAGAGTGCTTTAACGTGCGTAATTGCACGTTTTCGGCATTACCCCAGCCAGCCATACTTTTATTTGCAGGCCCATAACTTTTCAACGTGCTGTATAAATTTCAAATAGGTAGCACACTTATGCAAAGACATGCTGAAGATTACTTGACCGAATTGGCCAGACAAACGGTAGCATAATGAGTAAGAAATGCAGCTTCAAAGGCGCATGTAGTACAAGGGAAACGTACCTTGAAAACGCTCTTGGCGCCCTCACAGCCGAAGTATTCCGAATGACGACTCGTAACAAACATGCGATAATTTTAGTCACTTAAGCTTCAGAACATCACTGACATGTGGCATCCATGTCGTACGGTTTTCGAAATATCTTGAATTTCGGCTTTGCCCCAACTCCGGCATTGCCCCAACTTCCCCTACCGCAATAAAGAACAGTGAGAAACACCTACATGGCACGGATTTAGTTCCTGCGCAAAGTGCAGTGCGCATCGTGAGCCCCGGACGCAGTATATAATTGGGTATACATAGCCGTTCAGGTAAGCTCTCCCTGGAGTGCCCAGAACGCTCGAAACGCCCAGTCGAGTTGAACTAATGAGCCACTTGTGTATCCTCAAGACGGCTGAGTAGCCGACCGCACTGATTAAATTACGCCACTTTCAGTCTGAAAACTCATCACGGCGGGCTAGTTTCATAACCAGCCCCCGTTGACCAGGTCAGTGCGCGTTTGTCTGGGTCTCCGGAGCTGCTGAGAGGTCTGATGGCAAGCGTCAGTAATGCTAAGGCGCTCCGGCCGCGAGCGGCCGCTCTGGCCATCAGTTACCACCGGTTTCTGCCTGGCGCGGGCCCGTGGGCCGCGCCGTGCCGCCCCCTGCCACTCGGCGGCCGTAAAAGGTCGGCGGCGGCGCACGCCGATACGTCCTGCGCCACCCGCCCCCAGCGACGCTGACGAATGCGTCTCTTTGGCCGGCGCGCTCGCGGCCGTCCGCCCGGGGGGCCACTGCCATATTTCTTGGCCGACCGGAGCGGCGCGGTGGGCGACCTGCGGCGATCCGGCCCGTCGGCCCACGGCCCGTCTCTCGACCCACGGTCCGCCGGCCCACGGACTCACAGTTCGCCGGTGACGGGGGTCAAATAGCGACTGCCTGCCGGCCCGGCGACCCACCCATCGGGTCTCAATCAGCAGCTCATAGCTTATGCATTGGTTCGGTGGTGGCAATGCCGTCGAGATGTGGCACCTGGGCCGGTAAGTCGACATTGCAGGTAGTCGCCACTCACTTCGTGAGGATTTTCACGCTAGGAATGACGTAAAAAGTTGATAGAAAATGTCGGAAGTTGAAATCGTCTGCAGGCTGACATTATATTTCATTTTGCGCCTTTTTCAGTCGGACTTTTTCACATTTTCCACGTCTCCACATTTTCGGAGATTCTAATATTAATAGTTCTCCAGAGAAGAGAGTCTGCTTTAGCACATACCTCGATGAACACAGAACAGTGCACAAGTGCTCAAACACACAATTCCGCAAAAGTGTGACTAAAACCCACCTCCACGAGACGAGCACACCAGTGTGAGTGGTTCTCCGAGCCGGAGCGGGCCCAGCAGACCCGTCATCGGCCGTCCCTCCAGAGTGATGACTGGGTCTCCGGGAGGCACTGTGGAGAGAGCGAGACAAAGAGAGAGAGAGAGAGAGGGGGGAGGGATGGATGGAGAGAGAGAGAGAGAGAGAGAGAGAGAGAGAGAGAGAGAGAGAGCGGAGAGAGAGAGAGAGAGAGAGAGAGAGAGAGAGAGAGAGAGAGAGAGAAAGAGAGAGAGAGACAGACAGACAGACGACAGACAGACAGACAGACAGACAGAGAAAGGGTGAAAGCGAGAAAGGGAGAGATTCGTTATTCGATGTTGCAATCTTTCATAATATAGCTTAGGTACAGGCTAACTTAATTTTGACGACCCAAAGTTCAATTTTTAACACGTTGAACGACTCCGACGTCTTGCCAAATTGGCATTGTATGCCTACCAATATAAAAGTTATCAATACAAACACGCCAAAATTTAGTGTTCAAGTTTGCGCTCTCATCTGCAGGCTAGTTAGAAGACTTTACCAACTAATTAAAGGCCTACCTTATCTCCATTCGCCAGGGATGGCAGCAAAACAACTGACTTTTAAAGCTGCACTTCGTCACGTAGGAACAGCTAACACAATAAGAGAATGGCGAATTTAGGTGTGAAAAACTTATTTATTAACATTTCTGTCGATTCAATCAATCAGAAGCTTGTTAAAGCTGAGATATTATCATACAATAAGTCGAGGGGTAACATGTTGGAATGATAAGTGCCAGAAGTAGGAGTGTTACCAGCTGAGCAGCGTCCACTAACCTCTCAACTTGCCCAACCCGTCAAAGTCTCGTTCACTCAGCACTCTATTCAGCTGTCTCTTATCATTCAAGACATGTGAAGACAATATGATTATGATGAAACATAATTTTACGAGAGATCTAGTAGAATATTTGACAATTCCATCAATTATTCAATTTCCATCTCAGCACCCATGGTACAATGAGACAATCACTGGCGTGTTGTGATGAATCTGGGATTTATCGCCCCAAAGGAGTCGTTTTATTAACTCTGTTACGTTCAGCGGACTTACTGGTGATTTACTGCCAAGAAAACAACTATGTAGGAGTCGATTCCATTACGGGGCTACATTTTGCTATGCAAATAAAACCGTGTCGGGACCCCCTGTTCATGATTGTCCTTGAAGTGTGGGTATAACTGTATGACCATTACCAGCACAGTTACACATGATTTATTGAGTCGGCTTTTAAATAATTGCTGCATTGGGAGGTACCAAAGCAGCAATTTTTCCCAGTATGTACGTTAATCATGTTTTCAGATGGTGGAGGATGTCGAGTCAATACTACATACTATCACTCGTCCTCTGCGGAGTACCATGTTATAGCGTGGCGCATTCTTATGGTCTCGTGATTATGATTTTACGTTTATTAAAAACGAACGGATATTAGAAAGAAAAAGAGAAATACAGTCTTGCTTTGGAGGCTCACGACTTTGCACAGCCATTAGGACCCGACATGGCGCGGTCGGTAGGACTGTAAAAACTAACGTTTTGCTCTCACACATTTCTCAATAATGGCTAGCGGTAGAATGGGTTCACGCCGGAATAAGAATGCCGGGGAAAGGGCAGCTGAAGCAGAGACGTCGCCCTCAGATCATGTCGTGGACAACAGACAGCTGTTGAGCTTAATTCAAGAGCAGCAGGCAGCCTTGACGGTGGTGTTGCAAGAGCAACAAAGGATGAACATGGAGATGAGAGAGTCACGGGAGTCTCGGAATAGCCACGACACGAGGGCAGCTGCCAAGATGCCCGCAACTTCACTGCCTGATAAGGCGTCCTACGATATGTCGATGCCACAATGGAGAATATGGAGGCGCGACATACTGCAATTTGCCAAAATGTCAGGCTGGAATGACGAGACGACGGTTGCCAGCATTCGACTGCAAAGTGAAGACAAAATAAAACGTGTCCTCGAAGCCCAATTCGGGGAGCGATGGGAAGGACTCACTGTATCAGAGGCCCTGAATGCCGTTGAGGCGGTGATTCGAAAATCCTCCAACCCAGCTAAGGAGAAGGCCAAGTTTCACCAGCTGCAAC